TATATATATATATATATATATATATATATATATATATATTCTTTCAAATCATTTAAAAAATTAGTTTTATGGTTAAAATAAATTATATATCTAATTTGTCTTTATAATTTACGATATAAAAGAAAATGAAATATTGTGAGTCAAATATAATTTGAAGGTAAAAGGTTAAATATATTTTATATTTTGTAAGAATAATATATCATTAAACTAAATATGTTTTTTCTCTGGGACTAGGCGCAAGTTTTGAAGAAAAAAATTAGGAAAAAGAATAAAAACATAAAGAAAAACACAAATAAATAAAATTTATTAGAATTATATGTTAATTTTAATTATTTGTTTATAGAAAATATTATAAAGTTATATAATTTTATTTATTTAATAAGGTTTGAAATAAATATAAAGTGTTTTCCTGAGGTTTAAGAGTAAACTTAAAACAAATCTCCAATAATTAGATTTATTTTTTAAATTATATTAACTTCTGATAAATGATTTCTGTTAAATATGAATTCTTCTAATAGATAACATGTAAAAATTGATGATAGAAATAATATTTTATATGATTCTTATAAAGTCTAAAAATATATAATTTATCTTAAAGACAAAAACAAAGAATAATATTTAAAACCCAAAATAAAATATCTGTAAAAACTGTGAAAAAATTGAACGGAAAAACAAAGAATATTGTAAAAGTGACTTACACTAAGCGTCTTGAAAAAAATTGGTTATTAACTAATTGATATAACTTCAGTTTTTTAAAACTGACCCTTAAACAAATAGAGTTCATATATAATATTAATATTAAGTAGTTCAGTTGCTTTTAGTTTATTAAAATTATAGTTAACTATAATTTTGTATAATTTAGTTACTTGTGCCCAGTCATATGAACAATGGTCTTGAAGACCACAGAAGCTCCACTAGAGCGACGCACTTGGCAGCTCAAAATTCAATAATTCAAACTGCCAAGACGACTCCAACCGGTAACGTACCTCGGTCACCTCCTCAATCCGACCACACTAAACGAGGAAAAGAAAAGTCACTGACAAGAGTGGATCATGTGTCCACCTCAACTTCGAACTCACTCTATGTGGCTAATTGGTATAAAGGCCAATCAAGTGATAATCGGAAGTGTTGCAACGCCCAACTCTTGAAAACAATTGATGTTGCCGATTGCTTGGATTCTACCGAGATAATGATGGCGAGAAGCTTGACAATCATGCATTACTAGAAAGAAGCTATTTCAAAGAGTACTCATGATTTGGAGAAGAACAGCTCGGACTAAGAAAAGAGAGGTCAAGTGTAGGTAAAAGAAAAGGTTGAATATGACCTTATATTGTCATACAAAAATCTAGAGATTGCACGAAATCAAAGTAGGTTAAAGAACTTAGAGACTAAGGTAGGTCCTCTAAAAAGAAACCTGGAGACAACTGATCAGATGAAGGAAAAATTAAAAGAAGCCGAAGCTAAAGTTGAAAAGATGAAGGAGAAGTTAAAAGATAAATCAACGTGAGTCCAAAAACACGGATCCACATTGAATCATTCAAAATCCACTTAAAATATCAATGAACATGATTTTTGATAAATATTCATGTAATTGATTTTATGTTGAGAAGATATTATAAATCCAAAATTGCTTGACATTTTGTGAATAAAAAATATATATTGAATTTTATCATCAATCCAATTATAAATAACTTCAATTCAACATCCCTTTTAACCAAAATAAATTTGATGCATGATCAATATTACAAACAAGATCACCCAAATACACATCGGTTAGTTGAAGTCACAAAAACAGTTGTATAAAGGAAACAAGTTGAGTGCAATAAAATAGAAGTGGGAAACGAAATATTCACATATAAATTCTACATGATAATCAAACGGGAAAAGTTTCCATCTATATCTCAAATCAATTTGTTTTACATATCAAAACATACATACAAAATTCGCAGGTTAAGAAACCAACTCAACAGGAAAAGCTTAAAACACTTCAGCCACCTTACTTGCAAGAACCCGTTCCCTCCTTTCAATGTAACTAAACGGAAACCAACCTGCCTTGCCTTTGCATTCGCCCTCGGCCCATCCGCTGTTTGTCACCTGTTAAAACCACAGACACCATAATCATATACCAAAGGAAAATCAGGCCTACTTGAAAAACAAGGATTTTGTGAGTCATTAGCACGTGAAGCACAACAGCTTGATTTGGGACACACAAGTCACATCATATATAGAAGACCAAACAATCATTCAGTGATGAATGGGCAATGACTAAATTGATCATGTTCAGAGTTCATATCAGATTATCAATTCTGTTTTAGTTCTGTTTTGATGGGTTCATTATTGCATGAGAATAGTATAAATGCACTCTACTTGGTTATTCCCGAATCTGTTTCAAATATTATATTAATCCGTTAACATAGGTAAATTGATCGTTGAAAATATAATGTAATTCAAGAGAAGAACCCTCTAAAATCAGAGGGAGAAGAGAGGGGAGAGGGTGCGAGATAAGCCATCCTTTTGGTTCATCTAACCTTTCGAACAACAATGTAATCACCAACTGATAGATTTAGCTCCACTTCGGATACAGCAGAATATGGAAATAAAACCTGCGAGAAGAGCAAAAGTTAAAAAGGAAAAAAGATGTCACCTCACCTTTCTCAAAATTTAATATCTATAGGTGTTTTCCTGTGTCCGAGACTAGAAACAGCTCGTGCTAACCTCTCCTAAGAAGTAACCCATGCTATCTGTTGTTCCATTATGTGCCTGAGATGCGTAGACACCATTCACTTCTTCATACGACGGAGGTGGTGGCATACTGTTATCCAGACTAGGAATAGGAGGGGTTTCAATTCGTCGTTGTTCTGATATCATCTATGATCAATATAC